CTCTTTACACACAAGCTGCTGCCTACTAATTGCTCACGATGCACTCCACATGCTCTATGTGCATTTCCTTGTCTTCCCTTTAACAGCTTTAAGAAACTGGGATTCCAGACCGTGAGGTGGTGACACACGCCTTAAATTCCAGCACTCAGGAAGCAGAGGCAGGATGATCTCTGTGAGTTTGAGGCCAACCTGGTCTACAGAGTGAGTTCCAGGAAAGCCAGGACGACACAGAGAAACCCTGTCTAAAGAAAAGAAAAAGAAAATAAACTAGAAGCCCACTATTCAGGTGACTTGGACAAGGTTGCACAGAAGAGATTGGCAAAGGCAGGTTGAGCCTAGGCTAGTTTCCCTGAGTCAGGGTGATAGACATCTTAGCTCCTGAACCTCCTGCAGAGTATTTTCCCTAGCATAGCATCTCCTAATGAGACTGTCTGCAGACCTGCCTGTTCAGAAGACACCCCATAAATATTCTAGACACCCATCCCTTCCTCCTGCAAAGAAAGATGCTACCTAGAATTCTGTTGCAAGGGTTCTTTTCCAATCCAATTCCTAGTGGACCCTAAGACTCTTCAATGCCTTTTCCCAGAGGGAGGAGCCAAGAGAGTTTCTGATCCTTTGATCAGATGGCCTTCTATTCAGAATCTTGCAAAGGGAAGCAAATACACCCACAGAGGCAGACCCCTTGAGTCCTGCCCAACCTCTAGCTAATGCCCTGGAATTTCTTATCTTTGAACTTAAGGTGGGTGAGCACAGATGTGACAGCTTGGGCTTTTCAGTTTCCAGGAGACCGTTTTCAACCTGTGTCCCCTGTGCCAATTCACTGTGTATATAAGTATGGAAAAGAGGCATTTTGCGACAACAAACACGCCATCACTCCATCCCATTGCTGTATTGTCAACCCAGGCATACCGTATCTCTCCACAACCAGAATATTATGGCTTCAGGCTTCCCCTGTTTGTTTAAGAACAGGGAACATACTAAACAACTATGGGTGTCAGGGAGGGAGCTCATTAAGCAAACTGCTCGCCACACAAGTGTAAAAACCAGAGCTGGGTTCACAAAAGCCCAGGTAACGCTGAGTGTGGTAGCATGGCCTAGAGTATATAACAGAGGACAACAAAAATATCCTGCTTTTAACAAGGCAGAAGGGGAATGCCAGCACCCAAAGTTGTCCTCTGCCCTTTCTACTCACGCAGTGACACACAAATGCCCACATCCACACAAACACCTATACACACATACACATAGATCTCACACCTCTACTCCCCCACCAAAATAAATGGGGAAAAAGGAGCATCTAGCTACATATTCTTTGCACCAAAACTTCCAGCACACTGCTAAGCCTGTAGGGAGTGGAGTGTTAGTGCTCCTGCAGGTAACTGCCTGTCCTTTCTGCCGGCTGCCTTCTGAATATTTGCCTGCGAGGAAGCGTCTCCCGTCAGTTACCTGTCTGTAAAGGCTGCTACTTCCTTCCCCGGGGTATTTTTCTATACAAGCTGCCACTTCTCCTGCCCAGTCAAAGTGTCTACTAAGCCAAACAGCTCTCCCCCTCAGTCACTGAGGGAATGGAGGACCTGCTTGATTAGACTTGCAAAGATCCTAGGTGCAAATGGATTCATCTGGCAGCTACAGCAGAGCTGAGATCCAGGAGATTCAGACGATGTCCCAGGGGAGGGGCAAATCTCAAGAAACATGTTCTGATATGAAACCCAGTGCGGCTGTGACTCTCATCACTGCCTACAAAATCCAACATCCGCTTTGCTGCAGAGCCTGGCATCCCTAGTGCTGATGCATTTGTCTGGGTGTGACTCTAGTTTTATACCAATGGCATTTAAGGCAAGTCACAGAAAGGATCCCACCTGTCCCTAGTTCGCAGTTAGTTACAAAAGAAATAGTTCCTGTAAGTCAAGGGGGGAGAGCATGTCTACTGTTTTACTTGTTTAAAAATGAGTTTGGGAGGTAGCGGACTGTAATGAAATCTTGGCTCTGCCATTTACCAGTTAAGAGACTAAAACAAGTGCCTGCACTCATTTAGGCTTCCGCTGCCTTATCCTCAGAGTACAGTGATGAGGTCCATCTTCACGGGGCTGCTGGAGGGTTGCATGGATAGTGTAATGCTGAGCTGCAGGTCTGGAACACAGTAGGTGCGCTGTAAACAACTGTAAGTCTGTCCATCTTTGGAAAAGGCAAAGGCAGTCACCGTTGCCTCTTGGCCCTGAACAGGCTGCTCTCCTGCCCCTTGTCCATGGCTGCCTCCCTGAGTGGTGGACTTAGGAAGCTGTGTGGGGTTGCTTTTCTGAGAAGTGAGATTGAAATCTTGCCCTTGTTTCGTGAAGGGTACCTGCTGCTCCTGTGTGCTCATGCACTTGTACCTCAACACAAGGCTTCGTTTGTAAAATCAGGGGAACAAAAACCGAACGCCATACAATACCACCTTCAGACAGGCCTCTCAATTCTTTTCTCCCACATTCAAGACCTGAGTGGTGTGTTTGTGACAAGGGGATTGGCCGCCCATGTAAAGCCCACCTATAGAAAGCCACCTTGTTGTTCCCCTTTGGGGAGGAGAGCTAAGCTCCCCCAACCCCCTTCTTTTATTGTCAAAGACCACCCACTGGAACTAGCTGGCAAGTTGCCACAGTCCAGCAGGGTGAGAGCCAGGCTGCTGTCCCAGCCTCTATGTCTGCAACAGAAGCCTATAGAAGGAAAAATCACCTGACTGGGTTGTCACCTGGCCTGACTTGACCTTCCAGATGGCAGACCACCAGGGGTCTCAAGGTCTGAAGGAAGGGTTGCAGACCTGCCTATACACTGGACTCTTAACTCCAAGCTGTAAGACAACAAATGAGTATACAAGTATACCCGTCTGCTACAAAACATCCTTTCATAATGACAGAGGTAAATGTGAACAGCCACGACTTTATGCAGCTGCATTTGCAAAAGGAGGTACTGTGCTGTCATGTTAACGCACTGCCCTCCCTTGAGCATACCTATGGAAGAAGGAAGAGCTACAATAATTGCTGTTAGATGACAGTCGCTTCAGAAAGAGCATCACGTGGGAGAGGTGATTTGTGAGATAATTAAGGGCAGCCTCTGCTTTCATGGAAAACCAATAAACCCAGAACCCGCCAATTTTCCTCTCCAATTAACTGTGACCCATACCTAATAAACCTGCTGGGATTATAATGTTAGGTAAACCTGGACTAGTAGAGCCACTTGACTTAGACCAATCTGGGAAAGTATTGGCAGAGCCAGGGAAAGTGGTGGTAGGGCTTTCTTCAGGAGTCCATGTCTACTTTTCTGGGTGAGGTCTTCCAGAGAGCAGCCATCTGTAACCATCTTTACCTCCATCTCTTGAAAGTTCTGGAGGTTTGGGAGCAACTGGGAAGCTCAGTGACTTGGTTGCCCTTAAAATACATCTCTCTTCACCTGCTACTCTGCAGCAAACTTCAGAGTCATCTAAACTTGCTGTAGATGTTTATATATCCAGAGGTATGCAAGGGAACAAATGCAGCCAATAGCAAAATGCTAAATTCAAGCACATGTCTCTGTCTCTGTTTCTAACTCTCTCTCTCACTCGCTCTCTCTTGAGACAGGGTCTCTGTATGTAGTCCTGACTGGCCTCAAACTCACATTGATTCTCCTATCTCTACTACCCTAGTGCTGGGATTAAAGATGTGTACTACCACACTGGACATTAGCCTAATAGTCAAGAGAAATCTGATGGAGTTGAGAGAGGAACAAAATCATCTACTTATCCCTTTCCCCCTGAAAAATATCCAGAGACTGATCTTAGAAATGTGTCCAAGACCCAGAAGAATCTCTTCTAAAAAATGCAAACAGAAATACTTTGACTTTGGTATCTGATGTCTCTAGCATGCTTAATCACCCACAGAGGAAAAAAAAAGAATTTTCAGGGAGAAGCTAGGGAACAATTCATACCGGCAGATACGCAAAAGAACATTCTGGACTGCTGGACTGCTGGACTGCTGGACTGCTGGACTGCTAGACTGCTGGCCCTGTCTTTGGCTTTGACTCAGTCTGAGCTTTTGTCTCCCCTGGTTGAGGAAGTACTTCTTAGCTGATGTATTGACATTAGGGTTTGCTATACTTTTCCCTTCCAGCCAGCAATGGACTGCCAGATGCTATGGAGTTTCCCAGCAAATGTTAGAAGTAGATTCTTGAAGAAAGCTGGAAAATCTCATGCCATGATATCAGGGGCATAGCATGTATGTAGTAAAGGCCAGTGAGGGTATGGAGCCTCCAGCCTGGCCACACTTCCTCACCGTCCTCATGACCAACATCGTTCAAACTCATCTGAGAAGAATAACGCTCTTTTCCATACTTCTCAGAGCTTGGCTTCTTTGGAGTTATTTTTCATCAGGACTGCTTACCCTGCACTCTCGGTTACTTTCTCAACATATTCTCTGGCAACTGCAATGAGTTCAATGTGCATTCCTTCTATGATTTCTTCTTTCTGCCCAATAATCCTTGTCCCAAACATCAAAGGCCTCCTTTGAAGATAAGGCCAAATTCGTCATTAGAAAAGAGAAGTTATTCCCTAGCTATATTTTAGAAGACAGTAAGAAGCAGAATCCCTCTGAGTTTTGTGAGATAAACAATGCCTGCTACATCAACCCACAAGACATTCACTGTGATACCACTGGCAGAGGCATAAACACTTGGCATTCCTCACCCAAACCTACACAGCACTTTTCCACAACAAGCTTAGATTCCAAATCTCTTGGTTAACGATCTGTTTCCAACATATCTGACGGGGTTTGCCTTGGGAGAGGGGGTTCCCATGGCCACCACAAGCTTTGTCTCCAAGAGTGTATGAGCTGCTAGGAGCAACCCGAACTCTACCTTCCACTCAAAGCTGGACTCTTCCAGAACTAATGGAGGAGAAACACTGGCATCTCGGTGGTGACAGAACATGAAGAAACAGCTGACTCAGCAGGTCAGAGGGGGATGGGGGGACCACAATGAGTCAAAAACCTCACCTATGTCTTCTACGTCTTCCCTGCTTCCCTCAGGTGGATGTTGACAAGACTTCATGGGTCATGGAGTCCTCGAAGCCTGTTTCCAGACTGAAGACAAAGAGAGCTGTTTCACCCTGTGAAAAATGGGGATAAACAGAGTTCTGAAGTCCTTACTGTTTATAAGTGTGGTGCTGTAAACCACAGAAGTCCCTTATTAATCCATTTTATGGATAAGAAAAGAGAAGAAAAACATTTTTTCTAAGATCACAGGCCTCTTTAATTTTCCAGTTACCTACCTCCTTGCTAGAACTGATGAGCAATAAAAAGCAATGATTATCATTTTACAAAACCATTATCTTTGCATCCAGCAGGACGCTTTTATTAACATTCATAAAGTAGTTCTTTGTGCCCCCGATGGCGGAGAATAAACAGGGAATAGACTCATTAGAAATCAATGGCCAGCTGTCTGTGGTCAACCCTGATCAGCAGGTATTAGCACCACAAAGTGGGGTGGAGCACCCAGGAAAGATGAGAGCTCTGAATCTTGAAGCCATTGCACTTGATGAGTACCTGTGGGTGACAGGAGGGCAGTGGGGACTGTTAAGTACAGCAGTAGTGGGAAGGGGGGGCGGCAGAACAGTAAAGGAAAGAGCACACAGGATGGGACAAGAGTGACAAAGGCTGAAGGGTGCGGGGACAGATGAGGGCAGCAGCTGGAGGCAGTGTGCCTGAAGGGTCAGGGCAGGTGCTCAGAACACCACCTGAGACCTCCTTGGAGTCTCTTCCCGAAGAGTCCCACCTCGCCCAGTCCTGAGCGAGCCAAAGAGGCAAAATTCTTCCCAATGAAAGCTTTTGTAAGCATGGATTTCTAGATTCAAAACTAACCCATTCTGCCAGCTCACCTACTCCAAATATCTTATTCAAGCTCACCCATTATAAAAATATTACACGTTAGGGAGAGCATAGTTAGGATTTGATTTATTCCACCAACAGTTATTCATTTATCCATGTGTTCTATCAACAGCAATGTGATAGGAAATATGTGCGTTCTTTGGTCAAATTCTGAAGACACTTCAGAGACGTCTGATGACAGTGACCTTCACTTTGATCACAGCAGCAGAAAGTACATGTGCACAAATGAAAAGTGAGAAGTTGGTTATAGAATGGGATTATGGATAATCACCAAAACATTTTTGTGAGTAGTAGTAGATGTTTACAAAATCACTAAAAACTGAGGCGAACTACTCTTTGATGAAGAAAACTGACTGTCCTGGAGAAGGAAGCCGCCACTCTGCTGTCTGATGCACCGTAAACATTTGCTGAGTGTAGAAGTGACAAGAAATTGCATGCTAAAGTAAATGCTTCAAAATGGAAGCATATCACTCTCTTCCTCCCTCTCCCATTCTCATTACCTTCCCTAAAAGGCGAGTGAGCTTCGAGTGTGAAGGAAAGAAAGCAAACTCCCAATGTATAAGGGCATCTTTTGAAGCTTGGTTAACTTTTTCTTATTCAGAGACTAGAAAATACTAGACAGTAATTGCCTAATGCCATTGGATCTTCAGCTGTTGCTGGAAAGACACAGAGACAAAACCCTAAGTCATTAAGCATATCAGTGACTGCTGATATTTGAACCCAGACCCCCTAGGGCCCTTGGAATACTATGATCCTCACTTCTTGCCCTCTTTTCTTAAACCCCAGGAGCCCCTGAGGAAGTCAACAGAATTACTTCATGAATAATCTCCTATTCATGTCAGGCCATGGAAACCACAGAGAGGCCTCTAAGAGAGCAGGGATCTCATGCCACTGAAAACAACACTTCAAAGACAGTAAAATCTCTGGACCCATTTGGAGGGTGGAAAGGGACATAAATTACACCCTTTATCTTGAACTGGCCAACCAGCTAGCAACTAAGCAGGTTCTCTCAAGGTTTCCCCTAGATTCTCCCCCCCCCCCCAGCTGTGGTCAAAGAACTTGCTCATCCTGGACTCTGTCAATATCCACTTCCAATGGCCCATGATTTGGCCTCTTCCCCTGAGTGACAGTCTCTTGCAGTGTTTTTGCTTCTGAGATATCATAAAAGTGGGTCAAAGGGGCAGTGTCAGACATCTCAGTCCTTGGATTTCATAGGTATAGGCAGCCTCTAGCCAACTCCAGAAGGGACAAATGGTCAGTCTTCATAAGGGCTGGCAGCGTCAGCCCAGAGGCACAAGGACAGACCTATAGCTTTTTTTTTCCTTTTTGCATAAACTCAATCCAAAGACTCATCTAGCTGGGAAATCATAACTCTACTGCCATTTCCACCTCAACTATGTCCCGCTGACCCCAGAGTGCTTCATGATTACCATGGGAACCTCCTGGGTCTCAATTAGGAGACCATTAAAAAGGAGCAATTATAAGACCCCAGAGTGCTCCTGGGAAACCTGTTACACACCTCAAAATGACCAGCCTCTTGCCTAGAGTCACTTTAAAGCTCAAGAAACAGGCATCCCAGCCCCTCACATTGGTCCAACAGGATCTTTAATGTTTTCCACACTATTCTTGAGGAAATGGAGACAGACTTACTGACCAAACCAAAGATATGCAGAGAGAGAGAGAGAGAGAGAGAGAGAGAGAGAGAGAGAGAGAGAGAGAGAGAGAGAGAGAGAGAGAGAATCGTCGTGGTGTTGGGCTACTTGCTTACAATTAGCATCCAGTGGTAGAATAAATCAAAAGTGTTTACATATTCAAGAGTTTTTAAAGTTACATTCATTAAAGGTCTGTGCCTACAAAATTCTGTATAACAAAGAGCTAGGTGACAAATGTGCTGGCAACACGGGCCTGAAACAGAATATTCTTGTCACTTAATCCAGCAAGAGGTAACTCCAGCTCAAAAGCTTATGGGAAGGGAGCCTGCATGAAGCAGGGCTAAGGGAGCCCGGAACACCTCACCACACCCAGAAAGTGCCTGTTTGGGATTGCTGGTATGTGGTTTGCATATTCTTAGGCGCAACTGCCACATCTCTAGAGGAGCAGAACGCTTGCCTCAAGGGACTGGGCCTGGGTCATCTCCACATGTCAACAAAACCACCTCCAAGGCTCCTTTATAGGCTCCCCGGGTTTGCCTGCCAAGCACCTCTCACAGCTTTTCCACTTGGAAAACTAACAGACAGGCCCTTCCAAACCCAGCTACTTCCCCACCTTCTCATAGTTAACAGAAACAAAATCCCCAGAACACAATTCCAGTGGGATACTACACAGACACAGACACACACACACACACACACACACACACACACACACACACCTCAGCCCCACAAAAATCTCTGGATACCAATTCAGTATCTCCCATCCACCATCCAAAGGCAAGAGGATTCTTGGGGGGGGGCAGTTTAACTTTTGGTCTCCTTCGGTCCCTTATTTAGGATTTTCCTTTCAAAACGCCGGTGGTAACGTTTTCTCCAAAGAGGCAAATGGGTTTTGAGTGTAGGTTTGTTCCCCACTTCTGGCTGGGCAGCCGGGGCACAGTGTCAGCCTTCGGGGTAAGTTTGGGAAGATGTCCGCGCCCTCCTACCATCGGAGCAGCTTCCGGGAACCGCGGGAGCGAAACCATCCAGACCCAGCTAGAGAGGGAGGCGCGGCGGCCCTGAGCCGGCACGACCAGCGGCGGCCCCGGGAACTTCGTGCAGCATCAGGCCCTGACACTAGCCGGAGCCAGTCGAGCGCTCGGAGCCCCAGTTCTGTCCCAGCTCAGTGATCGGAGCTCAAACACGACCCCAGCTCAGCGCCCCAGTCAGAGCTCCAGCTCAGAGCTCGAGCTCCAGCCCAGGGATCCAAACCCTATCTGAGCTCTAGAAGAACACTCGGAAACGCAACTGAGCCCTAAAACTGAATTCCAGTTAAACACTGGGAGCCCCTTCCCGGGCCGGCCCTAGCCAGCGCTCGGAGCCCCAATGGGAGCCGCAGCCCAGCTCTCGGAGCCCGCGCCCGGCAGCACTGCTCGCAGGAGCCGTCGGCATCACGGGGCGGGCGGCCGCCTCCCACACGCCTCCTAGCCCCAAACCAACAAATAAACACAACTTTTTATGAAAAGAAAACAAACTTCAGTGACATGACTCACCTCTCCTGCAGCCAGATCCTGGGAAGAGGGGACCGGGGCTCCGGGTCCCGCGTGGTGGTGCGGAGAGGGCCACACGGCCCCGGGCTGCACCGACACACTCGCACAGCGTGGTGACACACGGGGACACACGCCACGGGAGAGTGGCCGCAGTCGGAGCAACAAAGGAGCCCGGGACCCAGAAGTTGCGGGCCGAGAAGGAAGAAGGGCTTGTGTGGCCACGGCGGGTACGAGGTGCGAGAGCGTGTAAGCGCGGCCGGGGCTGACACCGCGAAACCCAGCTCAGGGTCCCCGCTGCAGGAAGCGGGAGCCGTGGTGGCAGCAGCGGCAGCAGGAGGACCAGGCAGGAGACGCCGCGCCCAGCGCACCCAATCCCTCCATATGGAAGACGCTTTTTTGGATGACTGAACTTGCAAACAATTCCTTCTTTTGCTTCTCCTGCCTAGGAGCCTCCCATTACCGCTCGAAGAGGGGAGGGGAGCCGAGGAGGCGGGGAGGAGGGGGAGGAGCGAAAGGGAGCAAAGAAAAAGTATTGGAAAGGAAACTGGGGGAAAACACACTCACACACACGGTCCCCCAAACTCTGGGACAATTTCTCCCTTAACGCCTGCTTTCCCTGCGCCGCGTTAGACTCCCTCAGTCCTTCCAACTTGCTTCTCTGCCCACACCCAAAGTGCTTTCTCCCACTCGCGGGGCGCCCTCCACCCTGTTTAGCTTCACCTTGGACCCTTCCTCTTGTCAGCACTACCCTTCCTATGGCCAGTCTATCCTCCCACCAACCTCTCAATGTCTCTTTCATTCTGGGAAACAAACAAACAAAAACAAAACAAACAAAAAAAAAACTACCAGATAAACCAGTAAAAACAAAAGCATAATTAATAAGAAGGGGGAGTCCCCCCTCCAAAAAAAGTGGGACGGAGTAATAAGGCAAACGACAAGAAACCTCATGATGGCAGTGCCATAAGGCAGCCTTCTCAGACTCACTCGGTTGACCGGGAAGGGTTTGCCAGGTCCTTGACTTGACCTCCATTCATCATCTTAGGAGGGGCGGGGTTCACAGAGTTAGCTCTTTACCTCTGTGTTGGTTGGACAGCAAACATCCACAGCAGTAACTTTCCAACTCGTTCTAGCAGAATTTCTTGGGACAAATTGTTGCAACCTAGATGGATAGGCTCCGCCTCCAATTTCTGATTCAGTAGGTCTGGTCTGAGCAAGAATTACTCTAATTTTCAGGCCATCTGACATTGCTGATTGCTCGGGTCCACATTTCAAAAAAGGCTTTTACACAATGGTGAGTTAAGTCGGTGACACCGAATTAAGAGTCCTTACCTAAGGATGAGGCAGACTCTGTAAGTTTTCCTTAGGCCTCTTGCTTCAGGAGGTAAGCCTTTTGTCAAAGCCGCCGCCTTCCAAGGTGGAGGGGAGGAGGACCTTGGAGTGGTGAACAGAGGGGCTATCTTCCCTGAATGGCAGACAGTGACTTTGGGACTATGTTACAGAAAAACGTCGCTTAATTTTTTTTTAGGCCATGATTTTGCTTTCTGTTGTTTTTGGTTCTCATGATGAAAAACAAGTTTGTGCCCACCACATGATTCTAATTGAATCCGGAGGAGGGAGGGAAAGAGTCTACATTTTATACTACTCTTTCTTCTTGTGTCTGTTAATTAAAGGAGAAGTCAGTTTCTGCATCGATTTATCTGGCACTTCGGACTTTATCTACGTGCCTAGATAGTTGGGCATATTCCCTGGGGCAAAATGGATCATGAGGATGAAACATTTGTAATAAGACAATGAAAAGGTTCTGGAATCCCTCTTTGAGCCTCCCGCCTGCACCCCCCCCCACACACATACACGCACACGCATGCACACACACACACATGCACACACACACATGCACACATACGTGCACACTTCCTTCTCTTTTAATACTCCTCCATCTTGGAGACTATGCTTTGAATCCCCCCACCCCCATTCAATGATGATGCCAGCCTCAGTCCACTCACCGTCCTTCTGTGGCACGGTAAGGCCAGTGATGCCTGAGAACCACCCTGGGAACAGAACTTGAATTTCTCAAAAGGAATGAATGGATGGATCAGCTGACAGTCAGTGTTCTATTATTGTGCAAACACCACCTTTTTCTAGAGCCAAGCAGGGCAATTGCTTTATTTAAGGTTTTCAATGTAATTTTTCTCATGTGTGTGGGTGTCTTGCCTGCATGTCTGTCTGTATACCACATGCATGCCTGGTGTCTCCGGAGGCCAGATGAGGGCAGTGGATCTCCTGGAACTGGAGTTACAGACAGTTGTACGTTGCCATGTGGGTGCTGGGAATTGAACCTGAGTCCTCTGGAAGAGCAGCCAGTGCCCTTAACCACTTAGCTTTTCTCCAGTCTCAGATTTCTGCTTTTCAAAGACACTTTCCAGGTACCACCCCCATTAGCACTTGTGGAATTCAATACGAACAAGGGCTTGACATTCTCAGATTTCCATGTCCCTTCATGGATGACCCATCATGGCTTAACACCTCAAAGACACCGCCTGCCCCTTCCACTTATTATTCTTAGGACTTTCCATTATTTCCACTTTGGGTTTTAGGTCTACACAGTCTTTGCATTCCCAGTCAAAGCATTCATTCTTGCCAACGCTATTTAACCAGGAGAGGGACCCATGCCTTGTGCCGCCCTCAGGCAGACTGATCACCATGCCCACTGGCCTGCACTATAATTTAGTCAGGACATATATAAGAGCTTAATGAAGAGGATTTAGTTTTGTCAGCAGCACCAGGCCCACTGCTGGCACCTCAGATGTGTTTATTGTTTTCATGGATCTTTGTATCAATGTGATTGTGTTTATTTTTATAGCTTCTGTGACATACTGTGTCTCCTCTCTCCCCTCTGCCTGGAACATATTGCTTGTCCTCCCTTCCTCTAACTGTTAGTGTGTGTGTGTGTGTGTGTGTTTCTCACTTTCTCTTTGTTGTTTTTGTTTTTTAAGATAGGGTTTCCTCATGTAGTCCTGACTGTCCTGGAACTCACTCTATAGACCAGGCTGGTCTCCGAACTCAAAGATCTGTCTGACTGTGCCTCCTAAATACTAGAAATAAAGGCACCACCACACCTGCCTCTGACTGTAGTTTCTTAACCCACCCAGACTTGCCTTAGTGCACCAGTCGCCATAACTGTTAGATGAACTGTGCGTTCAATAAGGCACTCCGCTATACGTTCTTCAATGGCAACTTACCTCTGGCATCCTGCTTTGGGGGGACTTTATGGTTACCAAGAAGGAAGCATTTGGTCCTATTTAGTAATAAATTATTAATTTATTCCTCTGGGAAGTGGAAGGATAGACAGGAACTGCAGGTCTACATTGGTCACTGACACTAAGCTGTGCAGAATAAACCAGTAGTCCAGTGAGTAACACCACTTTCCTTTCAGTGGACTGCAGACACTCCCACAGTCATATAAACTGAGGACTCCTTAGTCATGAAGAATTCCTAGGAGCTTGTGCTGAGAGAACTACTATGGTATAGGCAAAAGGTGACTGGAAATTTACTACTTATTCCCTTTGTTTTTATATTTTTCGTCATTACATTTGGTTTTTTTCTTGATTTTATTGTTTTCCTGGTTATGAAATATGTGCACTGAAGAAAATTCAGACTATAGAAAAACACAGTAGGGTTGTTATCACAGTAAACCTATCATGCGAGGACAACATTGCTAACATAGTAGAATGTTTTTGGTTTTAGTCATTTTCTTTTCTTTCTTGTTTTGCTTCTCATCAGCATGCATTTTGCACCCAGTATATCATTGAATCAAAAATCAGAATCTGTTTAGTGGACAAAGTAAGTCAGGGACATCCATTCAAAATTTGTATTACCCTTTTTCTTATGCACTTGATAATTCAGGTAGAAGCCAGTTTCTTCACTGATTTCTCTATAGCTGAACATCTTCCCAAATTGTTGCTTTTGTTTGTTTATTTGTTTTCATTTTGGTTTTTCAAGGCAGGGCTTTTCTGTGTAGCCCTGGCTGTTCTGGAGCTCACTCTTTAGACCAGGCTGGTCTTGAACTCACAGAGATCCACCTGCTTCTGCCTCCTGAGTGCTTTTTAATTTAACAATCTAACATGATTATTTTCCCCATGATTTTGAATTCTCTTCAAAGTTTGATTTCAACAGTTGATGCGCTTATTGCACCAAAAAGTATCTTATCATTCTATTTTTATACATTTCAGAGCCTTCATTTACATTGTTCTCCTATTTTACGGTTGACTAAGCATCTTACCACAAATCTTCATGATTCTGATTATTTCCTGAACATAAATTTCTAGAAGAAAAATTTTGCATCAATTGGTAGCGAACACCTAAACGCTACAGTTGCTTGTCAGTATTCTAACATTGAACTCCACGAGGCCAGTATCCACTTCCAACTCTCTGGCTATTTGAATCAAAAACAACAATGACATCATTAAACACAAGGCCCCAAGTGGAGGCTTGACTGAATTACCCAGTTTGGAGGGTTGCATTCACCACATAAGGAAAAAAAACTGCCAAGCATACACGTAGAAGACGACACTCAAGTGTGAGAGTTGAACAATGATTGCTTAATACATCATGGAACCTGCTTGTATTTATTATATTTTTTCTATTTTTGACTTTATGAGACAAGGTTTCTCTGTGTAACCTTGGCTGTCCTGGAACTCCCTCTGTAGACCAGGCTGGCTTCAAACTCACAGAGATCCTCCTGTTTCTGCCTCCTGAATGCCAGCATTAAAAGCATGCACCACCACTGCCTGGCCTATGTTTACTATTTTGTTTAATCTTTTCCACATGCTTCTAAGAATAAGATAATAGTAATAACCCCTGAGCACTTTCTTCTCCCGGTCTCTGGGATGGATTTTGTGTAGATTCCCCATCACAGCCTATTTGTGTAGAATTACATTCTCCATTTTGCAGAGAAGGAAACTTACATAATTTGCCTATGATCTCCAACAACAAAGTGTGGTACTCATCTCCCTGTTATTTCATGAGTTATAGACTGCTGTTCTTGGAATAAGAATGGTACAGTTGGGGCTAGAGAGATGGTTATGAGCACTGGCTTCTCTTCCAGAGGACCCAGGTTCGATATCCATATGACAGCTCACAACCTATCCATGTGGTAGCTTATAGTCAACTGTAACTCCAGTTCTGGGGATTTGATACACCCACCCCATGCCCAGCCTGGCCTCCATGGGCACTGAGCAACAGATGGTGCAACATACATGCAGTCAAAACACTTACATAACAGAAGAACAAATAAATCTAATAAGTAGCCCTTAAAAGATACATTAACATTGGATGTGGTAGCTTATGCTTTTAATTCCAGCACTCTGGAGGCTGAGGTAGTGGGATTAAGAGTTTTAGACCCAAACTGGCCTACCGGGTGAGATCATGTCCAAAAAGAAAA